AAACACTGTCTCCACTTTGTTGCAGTAATCTAGAAGACCCTTGGCACTTTATCTAGCAGGCACTTGTTTCTCTAGTCAGAACCCTGACTCTTCAGTGACTGCCTTGGTTTAAGGCACACACACAGATGCAGAAAATGCAGATGATGCACAGCTGGTACAAACCACCATCTGGGACAGCACATGCACAGGACCATACAGAGTTCCCATAGCAAGGCTCTAAGACTATTCTCAACCTGGATACAAAAGTACAGTTGTGCAAGTGTGGAGGTCAGTTGGTACCACATCTCCACAAAACGCTCTTTCCAAAGGGAAAGGGACAATCCAATGAATGAGTAAAAGGTCAAGTACATTCCCACCACCTCAAGGTGGGTTTCTGCTGTCATATGCTACAGTTTTTTTCTATTCTAACTACTAGAAGTGGTCAGAAAACAAATCCTATTCCCTTTTTACCATTAAAAAAAAGGAATGCATGAAATGGGAAGAAATTTCAGTGGAATTCATGTGGTTGAATTCTTATATGAAATATCCATTTTATTTACTTGCAAGGCTTCTGTGTCATTACCTCCTTACCAGGTAACTGATATCTCCTTATCTTAAAATGTTGGTAACAAAAAATTCCAAACAGCTCTATAATCAAACTAAATGTACTTCGGTAATTATTGGCCAATATTTCCAAAGTACTTAAATAACTTGTAAAATCAAACTAGCATGGGATGACATTATAATCAAGAACTCTGTAGTATTAAACAGTCTTACAATCTTCAGAAGAAAAAAGTACTTTCAAAATTAACTATTTAAATTAAACTGAAAATGTACTATTTACTCTTCCACAATTTATCAGACACTAAAACATACAGACATGAAATTATTTTAAAGATCAGCTTCAGAATCACTATCAAGATTCAAATTTCCATTTATCTAGTTTGCTCATTCTCACCATATGCTTAGTCCCTCTATTTAGTGGGCCCATTTGTTTTGCCATCACCTGCTGAGCACTGCTGAGGAAAGTGTCGCACAACAGAGTGCCTCCGAGGTGCCGGCCCTGCCTCTGGCAGCAGCATCCAACAGGAGAGCACCAGTGTGCTGTTCATGGCAAGGCCGGGTCACAATAGGGAGCCCTGAGGGGCACCACGCCTTTGGCCAGCTCCCCTTTCGGGGTTCTGCACTTCAAACACGGAGTTGTTCACGTAGCAGTCGTTCTTCCAGCACCCTCTAGTGCCGACGGTGGCTTTGACTCGTCACTATAATGGGTTACTGTAAGTTCCACCGCCCCATAAGCCAAGCCTCCCCTGCCCGCAGAGCTGCTTTGCCGACTTGAACGCTATTGATGTGCCCCGCTGCAGGAGCTTCCCTCACCACACGCGTTCCTGCCGCATACGCCGCTCTCATCTCTGTCACGTTAGTTTTTGTTTCAGCAAATGAGGTGTTAATTTTTGTGTACCACAAACAAAATAGTGTCATTTCCCTTAAAATAAATATATCCCCCCCGAACTGAAGTAAACATATGAGTACATTGTGTGACGTTTACTTAGGCAAATTAGTTATCAATTATTTGAGTCAGTCCTAAACAAAGGCATTATTAAACAAGCAGCCTTTCTTATCCCCGATTTCCTTGCAGAAGACTTTAAGGCATGTATTTCAGAACCCTCTTTGCAGCTACAAGTCCATTGAGAAAAGCACTAAATGGAAGAGAAAAAGCCATTGGAGACCAACTGTGGAGTTTACAAACAGGACAGATTTTGAAATGCACCAGATCCTTTGCCCCATGCTGAAATGCTAGCTAAACAGCACCCCAGTGTGAAATCAGTGTAGGGGCCAGCAAGAGAGTGATTGATCACAGCTCCCAAGCTCCAGACAGGGATACAGAGCCGGATATTCTATTAAGGAGCAGGGCTGAGATCAAATAGGACACAGGAAAGTAAGAAACCTGCTGAAAACCAAGCCAAATATAAAATGTAATTAGCTTTTGATATCAGATAGCTGTCTTGTATTGTGCTACTGATTTAATGAACTGCACTGGTACTGTAGGTGCGCCATGCCCTTCCTTAAGGACAGTCATTCTGCTTCCTTGAAGAAACAACAATGTTTTTTTTTTTCTCTCTTTATCTTTCTTACACTATATTTACATGGGATTTCACAAGCAATGGGACAGTTTAGAAACTTATAGACTAGGCAGAGTACATAAATCTAAATAGTAACACTTATTTAGTAAGAACTCACCTCTTAGCCTGGAAGGATGAAGGATTTCCATCTAAGTTGGTAACATATTTAAAGTTATTATATTTTTATTTACAACATTAAAAATAGACCTGTCAGAACTACAGCTGCATTCTCTCCAATTAGTTTACATGTAATTACTTACACAATCACACAGTGAATTCTAAATGCAAACAAATCTTTGGTCAATACTATTTGCTGTGATCTGTGAACTATTTGCTCAATTCATTGCAATACGTTTTTTCAAAAATTTGCAAAAATACACCTTGTAGTACTTACAATTACATTATGTTGATTAATTCCTCCTAAATAAGCATGAGCTGAAAACACTAGCATCCTTATTGAATCAAGTCACTACTCTGGGAAAGACAAAAGCAACTTTCTGCAGACAGAAACCTATGAATTTTGTATACTGGAAATGTAGATTTAAACAAACAAATTAGAAAAAGCATACAAGGCCACCACTTCAAACAAATAAAATCAAACAAAAGGTTATATCAGTTTTGCTCCTTACTCCACTGAGTACCACAAACCAGATACTTTCAATATCTCCCACCTGAACTTCCAAAAACTGGTATAGGTAAGTTTTGGTTCTTTATACACCTGTCCACCAAACCACATTTAAAATATAGGTTATGACAACAAACTAAAAGGTTGAGTGCATCTAAAAAAAAAAAAATTAAAAGCACACTCTGGGTGTGTTTATTATTTATTAATAATTATATATTATATATTAATATTATTTACATCTATTATTATTTCCTAATAAATTTCAACTTTGAATATGAAAACCTTTTAAACTCTGCCATAGTGACCCAATCTAATTCCCAGAAATGTTCCATATTTAGAGCAGCACTACTAAAACTTTGGGTGGCATTACTTGAAACAATTACACAGAGCATCTACAGTTGAAAAAACCCTGAATATAATAACTAACAAGTGGCCTTTTGATACTGAAATCACACTAACTGTGGTGCATTACTGGATTTTCTGCTGAAACATGGGAAGGAAAATCGAATTAATTGTGCTGGTGGAAGCAAAGAAAGCCAGTGCTGAAAGCAGTGGCTGTGCTGTAGGGGAACAATGCTCTGCACTGGTGCTGGCAGTGTATGGTTTGTTTTATCACTCTGAGCTCCTGCCCTAGAATGTATGTTTGGGGCTACATTTAGTGTAGACCTGACAAAAGAGTCACACTCACATAATAATGTGGATTAAAGGGACTGGCTTTTCTTGGAGACCTTGCTTTTTTCCCCCTTTGATAGAAGGGCTTTACTCAGTGCCTGTGGCTCGGGACCTAGACACAATCGATGTACTGTCCCATACAGGAGGAGCACTAGCTTGCATCTGCCTTTGGATTCTAAAACATTCTCCAGAATGAGAGCACAACACAGCTGTGGCACCCAACTGCAATTTAGACAGCACTTGTAAATTCTTCTCTCAGCTCCGGAGAGAGTGCACTGTTTAATTGTCAAAGCATCTGAGACTGGCAGCCAGGTTTCTGGGTGCACTGGGCTCTCTCACACCCATCCCCAGCTCCCTATGACCGCAACACTCCATCCACAGTGTGTGCTGCTGTCCCTGCACAGCCCTGAGTTAACCTCCGAGCTAGGATTCAGTCAGCAGGGAAGAAAAGGACGGGATGATCACAACTACCCGCTCATAACACACCTGTCCCTGTTATTGCCTGTGAAGGGCGACTGTTTAAAAACCAATTACAAGCATACCAGAGATGCCTTAAATCGCGTAAACAGCCGCCAAAACGCCACGGCTGCAGAACTGCAATTGCTATTCCGGAGCAGCAGTGAAGGGCGCAGACACCATAAATCACGGTGTACTCCAGACATTCCCATTGCTTCTGACAGCGGTTTTCCTCCAGATACGAGAACGCGATGTGCTCAGCAACTCGGCAAACCCACAGCTCGTCCAAGTCGGCGAACAAGCGGGGTTTCAGCAAAGCTTACCTATCAGTTTCCTCTGTTCAGCCTTCCTGCCCACTTAAACAAGGGAGTTAACGCATTTTTCTCCTCAGACAGGCGCAATTCCAGAGCCAGCAGAGGACTCTGCCTTGCAGTGCCCTGCAGCCCGTCCCACGCGCTAAGGCCAGGAGGGACCGGGGTGCTCGGGGGGCTGGGGGTGACAGCGGCGCAGCCCCTCAGGGCCGGCACAGCCCCGCCTTTCATCCTGGGAATGGCCGCGGAGAGCAGCCGGGGGAGGTTTCGGACGCAAAACCTGGTGGTGGGCACGGGCAGAACGCCCCGCAGCTCCCCAGCGCTCTGAGGGATGCTCGCAGGGGCGCTAATGAAGGGCGGAGCGCCCAGTACAAACCACCTGGCGGCCGGCTGTGGCCAGGTGAGGGGCGGGCTCTGCTCCCAGGAAACCGACGGGAGGACAGCGGAGGTTCGGGTTGGACATTAAGAATTCAGAGAAAGTGGATACAAGGAGCTGCCCAGGGAGGTAGCAGCTCCCAGAGGTGTTCAGGGAGAGTCTGGACTCTGAGCGATGGATGAGCCGGCTTTGGGGCCGCTCCCCTCCTGCGCCGCTGCCGTGTCTCCGTGAGGGGGCGCGCGGGCAGCCCGCCCACAGCGCGCGGCGGCAGCGGGGCCAATCAGCGCCGGGCGTGGCGGGGAGGGGCGGCACGCGGGCGGCGGCAGCGGGGCCAATCAGCGCCGGGCGCGGCGGGGAGGGGCGGCACGCGGGCGGCGGCTCGGCCAATCAGCGCCGGGCGGGGCGGCACGCGGGCGGCGGCGGGGCCAATCAGCGCCGGGCGGGGCGGGGCGGCACGCGGGCGGCGGCGGGACAAGATGGTGGCGCCGGGCGCGCTCCGCGTGGTGCGGTGCGGGGGCAGCGGCCTGCGCGGCGCCAGGGCCGTGTTCTCCGCCGACTCCAAGCAAGTGGGACCGGGCTTGGGGCTGCCGCGCTCGGGGGGGCTCCTGAGCTCCCAGCGGGGCTCTGCCCGCCGGTGTCCCCGCGGCCTGCGGATGCCGCGGGGCGCCCGGGCCGCTCGGGCCGGGGTAACAGCGTTTCCCCCGGCAGGTACCTGCTGTGCGCCTCGGGGGACTTCGTGAAGGTGCTCAGCGTGAACACCGAGGAGACCCTGCGGCTCCTGTGCGGCCACGCCGACCTGGTGACCGGCATCCGGCTCAACCCGCACAACCACATGCAGGTTTGCGGGGGCGGGTCTGGCCGGGGGTGTCCCTGACCCCGATGTGGCACCGCGGGGCTGTCCCGGGGCTGGCTGCAGTTTGGGAAGGGGCTGGGTGTGACTGGGGCATCCTCGTGCTGATGTTTAGCTGAAACCTGACAAGAAGGGTAGAGCTATGTCAGTTTCCTAGAAACACAAACGTGAAATGTCATGTGGATTACACTAGTTGAATGGAATGGCAACAAAACTGAAATACAGCAAAATTTCCGGTTCTTTGATTGAAAGGGTAAAAGAACCATGTGAGAAGATCAGAAATACTGTGGTTGGTGTTCGCCCTTCTGTATCTGCTGGTAGTGATGCAGATGTGACTAAATCCCTTTAGTACTGTGGTTGGTGTTTGCCCTTCTGTATCTGCTGGTAGTGATGCAGATGTGACTAAATCCCTTTAACTTGCCCAGTGGCTCCCTCTGCCCCCAGCCTGCCTTCCCTGCTCCTAGTTTGCTTGGGCTGTTTTGGTGTCTCGATATAAACAAGACTTACTTACCAAGGGACTGATCTACACATTAGCTTTGCAAAATGAAATGTTCACATGGTGGTTATCTGTGCATTCACTCTTTGTGGCAATGTACATTTCAAACTACAGTGATAGTATTGTGTTTGCACTTTATTTGAAAGCAGCACAGAGCTGGTCTCTCCTGTATTTTTTATCTGGAATCATGGTTGTAATTTTATGTAGAATGTGGTTTGATATATTGCTATATATATCAATATATTTGATATATTTCTATTACTTATATAATTGTTTTTGGTTTTTTTATCTTCAGCTCTATTCTTCCTCTCTCGATGGCACCATTAAGCTGTGGGACTTCATGGATGGCATTCCCATTAAAGTATGTTGAGTTATTCCTGTTAAGAGCATGTCAAAAATGGGCACAGATCAGCCTGAGACGGGTTGTTCTACTATTAACACAACCTAAAACCCTTTTAATTATGGCAGGAATAGAATGTGTGGTGATAACGATAATGATGCAGATCCTTTCAGGGAAGAAGGTGGGAGATGTATTGACATCCTGACTTTGCTACCTGCTACAGTTTTGAGTCCAGGGTAGCTCTGGGAAGTGTGCTGCAGTTTGGGATATACCAATAGGAATTGATCCAGTGGCTTGATAATATGAGCTGCTTACTCTTGCTCACATTTTCTTCTAAATACCCACCTGCAGCACTTCCCCAGCACTCTGGGCATGCCTTCTGCTTTGTATTGGGGATAAGGAATCCTGAGGCTTTTTTATAAATCTGATGCCTCCATATTTTATTAGTACTGTTTTAACATTTGTATCAGTCTTTGATAGAATAAGGATGAATTTATCTTAGAATCAAGAATTTTAATTAATAGATGAACATTTCTTAAAAACATTATTTCCTTAGTTTAAAGACATATGCACAAATGTAGTAATTGCTGATTTCCTTCTCTTTTTTTTCTTCAGACTTTCACTGTAGGACACAAACTTCTGGCACTGTACACGCTTGCTAGTGCTGAGGACTCAGTGTTTGTTGTCATTCCAAAGAAGGGTGAACGAGGTACAGTACAAGCAGCATCTCCCATTTAATCTCAGTCATTCTGTGTCTGTGCTACTGTCCCAGCACCAAGCTGCAAGAATGGGCTTTAATGTGGTAAATTGGGAAATATTTTTTAAATCCTGTGGCCAATGTCTAGTCCTTCACTTTGTACCTCTTCCATTCTCATTCTGTGACACCTGTCATTCCAATATTTGTCTAGAGGAGTGCTTGTCTTTGCTTTTGAGGCAGGTACTGAATAGATATGGTTTCATAGATGCAGCTCATCTTTGAGCAGTGCTCACCAAGGTTTAGGTTATACTACTGAAGTTGGGTATGAGTGCTGGAGATTATTCTCCCACCTTAGGCAGTATTACCATAAACAGACTTGGCCTATTCACAGCATGCCTGGGTATTTTTGTATGGGATTATGTCTGCAATAAATACAGCTTGGCCTTACTGTGTACTATAATATATTGCTACTTCAGAGCAAGAGCAAATACTATGCAGCTTCTGTTGGATTCTTCTGCTTACACTTGCACTGCTAGCCATTGTCTGGTCCTTGTTCTTCAGTACTACTGTTGGTTTCAGACAGATTTTTTTCTTTGATCAGATACGTTCCAGCTGGTCTCAGTTAAGCTGACAAAAGGAACAGGCCAAGATCTGGAAGGCAAGGAGCTCTCAGTGGTTCTGGATGGGGTGGGTGCATCAACGAAGCAAATTGCATTTGGAAGAGAAGTATGTTTACCTGTGGGTTTTTTTCTTCTTTGGGTGTTGGTTGGTTGGGTTTTTTTTTTCCTCTCAAATGCTGTGCTGCTTATGCCTTTATACAAAGCACAGCAGTACTAAAACAAAACTGAAAGTAAAGGAATCCATGTAAGAGCTATGCTTTCTTTAATATTACAAAAACAAAAAAGAAACTTTGACACTTACAATGGTAAAGTATTTACTCACCATCAGCTTATATGTTGCCTCCAGAGTAAAGTATTTTGTAGTGAAATGTGCTTTATTTCTTACGTGAAAACATAATCTGTATGTCCTAAATGGCTTTACTTTAACAGGGTGCATATGTGGTATCAGTGAAGGATGTGCATCTCCAAGTTTATTTTTTTGAAAAGAAACTGTTGAACAGGTAAGAATGAAAATGTCAGGTATTGATTCAGTCTGATATATCCTAAATGTTTTTTAACTCGTTATGTGTGTACACATGATATCATATTTGATTTTCTGCTGGAGGGGGTGTAGACACTGTATAATAAGCTTCCTGTAGAAATGATCAGTGAGCAGATCAATGCAGTGGTACCTTACCTTTGCAGCTGATGAGTGTATTTTTTTTTCAGTTAAATACTTAGGTTGATGCTGACCTGAAACAAGTGACATAGTTTGGGCAGGGCCCAGGCAGCAGGAGGGAAGCAGGAGAAAAGGAGAGGTAGAGAAAGACAGAAGCAACAACTCTTTCACCTTGATTGAAGGTGAAGAATTAAGGAAATCAAGAGGAAAATAAGTCTGTCACTATTTTTTGAGAGTGCATGTAACCATAAAAACTTGAATATGTTTAATTTTTCTGCTCAGAATTATTTTTTATGTGCACTAGCTGATCCTTTTGAAGATTTGTTTTAGAAAAAACAACCTAACTCTTACAATTAAAGTTCCTTTCTTAACTTTTGAAGGTTTTCTTTAAGTACAGTGAAGACAAAAGGAGACAATCGCTTCAGTTGTGTTGTGTGCCATCCTAGGGAGGATTGCATAGCAACTGGCCATGCTGATGGAAAGATTCGCCTCTGGTATGTGCATTTTGGTTAACTGTGTATCCCATTGACTCCTCTGACTGTAGGAATGAAGTCACACCTGAGCAAAGCAGTCTGATTTGTCTTTAGCATTGCCATTTTCAGAAGCCAGAATGAGCAATGAACCTGCAGTGCTGACAGTGTATATGTCAAGTGGAAAAAATGCCTAAGTTATGCTCTGTTAAATCTAAACTTGGGTGTAAAAGGTAATGTAAGAACTGAAATAACTCTTTATGGGGAAATAGAGTCCTAAGGAGAGCACATCAGTGGAATACATGATTAAAAACATTACATGTTTAAGTTGCTTCCAGGGCTGAGTTGCTCAGTACATCTAAGATGTGAGGTTTGGACCAGGAGGGTTCTGAAAACCTGTGGTGTGGTTCCTTCCCTCCTTCTGCATCACTTGAGCATAGGATAAACTAGTCTAGAAGTTAGAGGGCAGGATGATATAATTGATTCAATTCAATATTTCATTTTGTTTACTCTGTTGTTGATGTGAGTAAAGAATTGATTTTTTTCCTCTCTACACAGGAGGAATTTCCATCACAGGAAAGCGTACACATATTCTGCACTGCACTGGCATCATGATATTGTTATGGATCTGGCTTATTCTGTGGAGGGTGAGTAAAAGAAAAATAATAACCAAAACAAAGCAATGAAAAAAACCCTACAAAAACCCCCCAAAAATCTCCATCAAACAAAACCTCAAATTTGAAGTATTGCAGCAGACAGGAAACAATTTGTAGAAGCTCCCAAGTTTGTCCACTTACTAAAAAGTCAATTTCTAGAATTTTAAGTGTATCCAGGAAGGATCTGAAATAAAAATTTAAAGAGTTAGTTTTTAATATACATTTTGATTGACATTTATCATGTTAGATATCTGCCTTTTGACTTAGAAGGAAAAATCTAACCCCTTCTCTCTCCTCTTCTCCCTCACCTGCCTTTGTTTGATTAATAGTATAGATGAGTTCTTGCCAGCTTTACTTGCACCCAAATAAAACAAGCCAGTCGTGTCTGAGCTCAAACTTGCTGTCAGAAATACTACACTTTTATCTGAACTGTGTGATCTGAACTATTCTTCTTGAAGGAGAACAATTCAGCCATATCCTAACACAAATATCCAGCTGATTCAGAAAGTGGTGGGATCTACTACTCCCAAAGCATTGTTAAATTTCACTGTAGACACAAGTTCCTGTTACTTAATTAAAGTTTCTCTAGCAATTTAACAGGATATAAAGAAAAGCATGTCTGTGTGTATTGTCCAGGTTTGATATGATTGTCTATTTACTTGTGACAATTTAAAAAGTTTTGAGAAACTCATGTCTGTCTGTCATTGTAAAGACACAGGCTGCTATTTTTTATTTCTTATTAAACAAAACCTTTTAACTGTATTTTGTTGCTGGAAAAGGAACCAGGTTGTTGAGTGGTGGAGTTGAATCTGTTCTAGTCCAGTGGCACAATGAATCTTCATGCCAGAAGGATTTCCTGCCTCGTTTGGGGTCTCCTATCGAGTACATCTCCATGTCCTCTGATGGCGTTCTCTGCTGCACCCTGCACACAGACAACAGTAAGCCAAAACACATCCTGGTATCACTTCAATGGAAATGCAAATCTGGATGAGCCTTATTTTGTTGATTTTGGATGAATTAACTAAGAACTGCATAAAATTTCATGAGTAACCTGAAAAAACAGATTCTTTTGCTCTTTGATCAGTTCTGGAAATTTGCTTTGTGACTGCTGTAACTTGGCTTTCCACCTTGGTGTTATAAACTGGGAAAAGATAGATTTACAGTACACATGGTTACAGTTCTTTCCCATCATGAGATGTGTGCCTTTTGCAGGACTCGGTCTGCTTTCTCTTTCAGGAATTACAATAATCAACAGCAACTTACGGTTTTCCAGAAGTATTCAAGGGCTAATCAAAAGTAAGTGCAGTAAAATTTGTCTTCCACTTAGAGGGTGGAATGTATCACTTGATAGCTTTGGTCATTTGTCACTTGAATTTTGTTTCCAGGTAGAGATGTCAAGACTGGCCTAGTGGTTGATCCTAGAACCAAAGCTTTGGTCCTGAATGGAGAGCCAGGCCACTTGCAGTTCTATTCTCTCCAGAGTGACCAACAGTTGTTCAGTGTAAGTTGGATTGGCTTATACCAAAGCTTTAACTTACTCAGTCAAGTAACTTAATATGGCAAATGGGAAAAAACCATGCAGCTATCCCACAAGGCTGGATTCCAGGTTGAGATGTTCTTGGCTTTATCTCTGACTTGACTTGCTAAGCAAATCTAAATATTGATACTGAAAATAGTACTTTGAAACTGTGTGCTATCCTCTTAAATGTCAAAAATTTGTAGGTAAAACACTTTCAGATTATTTTTCATTCTTTCCTACACTTCTCATCATTGTGGAATGCATTGTTGTAATTCTGCTTTCCCCACGTGTTGGCATATTTCATGCCACGGCCCAGTCAGGTCTCACTGGAGCCCTCAGAACACCCTTTCTCTGTGGTTTCATGAGTGGTATCTCTTACAGCCCTACCTGAATTTTAAGCACACTGTGGCCTTGCTTTGCAGCTGGACATTGTGCAGCGCCAGTACATCCATCAGGCGGGTCTGAAGCAGTCGGACCTGGTGAAGGTTGCGTTCAGCGCTCGGGGCACCTGGCTGGCCACGGTGGAGGAGAGTGAAGAAGTGACTGACCCCGAGCTACAGCTGAAGCTGTGGTTCTACAGTGAAGAGACACAAAGGTAATGATAACAGCTGTCCTTCCAGCTGTCAGTCACACAAATCCCTGCACAGATGTTGCCTTGCAGAGTTTTTCCAGACCTGGGGATTTACCATGCATGCTACAACATCTGCGGCACAGCACAGAGTTGCACTGAATACACACAGGAAATAATTGCTCTGGATCTATTTTACTTACAGTAATCAAAGACTATTGTAGCCACAGGACTTAAATTCATTTATTTTCTTGGTATTAAAAATCGTGGACCTGACAGAATGGTTCTGTAGCTCATACGGTTTTCCCACCTCTCTGTAATCCATCATTAATTGATTCGTTCTTCTCCAGAAGGTACAGAAAATTAAAATTTTATTGTTGGTCTTTAGCTAACATATGCATCTGTTTAATAGCCTTTCCCTAGTTTTCCCACTAAAAAATTACATTTTGACTACAAATTGTTATTTTCTTAAAGAAACAAAGCAAAAGAAAGCTGCTACACAGACCAACCATGTTGACTGATTTTCTAAGTACTGGAAAGACTGCCCAGGGTTCAGGCTGAGTAGTTGAGAGATGTTTGCCTAGTGATAATTCTTGGTGCTTGGCTACTGTATGGAAGCCATTAGGGAAACCTGATCTGTTAATGCAATACCATTTAGCTGTCTTAATAAGAAATTCCTTTGATTGCTCTTCTCCCTGCCCATTCCAGAATCATCTTGAACTGAAGTCTTCTCCATATTCCATATTAAACAGAATGGCAAGCTTCTGCTTTCTTTTCCTATAGCTTTGCACTGAATACCAGAATAAACACACCCCATGACAACCACATCACAGACATGTGCTTTCGTGACATGGATGAGCTGGGAGATGACTCTCTCATACTGGTAACAACTGGCAGAGACTGTGTGTTTAAAGTCTGGGTGATGGTAGAAGACTCTGATCCAGAAGGTAAGTGTGGCTAAAATATAACTTACTCTTACATCACCTTGTAACATAGAACCATAAGAATAAGCTGAGTTGGAAAGGACCTACAATGACATTTGAAGTCATGCTGTAGAAATTAAGACCCTACTTTCATTTGCTTAGTCCCCTGCATTGATCTGCTTTGGCTGCTGCATGAAGTATTGTGTTCTCCTGAGCATCCTGTGATGGTGTTCTGCCATAGTCCCACAGTATTAGTTTGGTATTGAGGTTCCTGATAAAGCCAAACACCTTGGCAAGCTGCTGCAGAAAGGAATGGCAGCCCATGTTTGTTGGTTAAAGAACTGTTTGTGGTAATGATTTTTCCATGCTGAGAAAATGGATTTTTGTCAGTCCTCTGGGCTGGCTTTTCCTTTGAGACTCCTGCTCAAAGGAGCAGGATACAGCAATGTACAGCAGGATACAGCTGTGTTTGAGCTGACTTAGTGTAAAATAGCACTTTTGCAATTCAACAAATCCACCACTTAGAGTTCGATTTTTGAACATTCTTCCTTTCCATTAGGTACTTGAATATCATAGAAGGGGTATTTAGGTATTTCTGAGATACTTTTAATAACTAAATTTAACCTCTTGAAAGACATACTATTGTTGACTTCTTTCAAACAGACCATCTGTGTATGTTTATTGATTGCTATATATGCCTCTGGATGTGAAACACAAAAGATTTCCAACATATTAATATTCTTCTACTTAAATGTTATTACAGTTTCAGGCACACTTAAGTGGCACTTTCCTGCCACTTGGGTGTATTGTCATTTCATGTTCCTAAGTAGTTGTGATAGTGGTCTTGCTGAACTGCTTGCAGTTTAGTAGTCTCTTTGTCTTTTCATGTTTAAAAGTACTTTTGAGCTTTGCCAGACTTTCTCTTTCCAAGCTCTTTGTCCCTCAACTGTGGCTGCTGATGAGAAGAAAGAAAAAACCTTGTGTTGTTTACTGTATTAGTAATGTTAGATACTGTATTAGTAGTTATCTCCCCAGTGGCATCTGAAAGAGTGTTTGGTTTTGGTTTTTTTCATAAATTATTCTGAGGCTAAATTATATTTTAACTTAATGAGCAGATACTTTGATCTTGAGTATAGTGTCAGTTGGGGATGAAACTTAATATTTTTTTTCTTTTCACAAAATAGTTGTGTATCTGCTGACTGGCTTCATCAGGGTATTAGTATTTTAAGTGACTACAGGGTTTTGTTTCGTGGCATATGTGAAAGTACCAATTAATGGTGTCTGCTGTGGTGTATTTGTCCAGTGGAGCAGAGTAGGAATGGTCAGGTAGAAAAGCTTTACACGCTGCAGTTTCTCTGCAGCAAACATTATTTTAGCAAAGAGCTCCTCAGTGGAGTTCACTCTGGTGTGTGTTAATTGCTGCAGGTCTCTTGCTGGGCCCCTAGATGGTGCCATGCAGTTGGAAGTACTCAATCGTTTCTGGCCTTTTGTTTTTTGTTGGTTTTGTTTGTTTTTTTGGGGTTTTTTTTTTTTTGTTTTTTTTACAGGCAGGTCTTTTAATCACCTTGTAGCCATTATATAAAGGATAACTTAGCATAGGGTGATTTTCCTTTTTGTCCTCATCCTACTCAAATGTTTCAAAAGCATGTAGAAATTGTTTTATACTGGGAAATCTATGTTCATGTGATAAGTACATCACCTCGCTCCAGTTTATTTTCTGGATAACTATCAACAGTGGGAAAGGTGTCCAAACAGAATGCAGTGGCAGGTGAACCAACAGAAAGAAGCATGCTGGTAGGGTCATTTGGTGATACTCAAATCTTCTGCAAATTAATGACCTTTGTTGGACTCAAATGCAACCTGTGTTCAGATTTTGAATAATGATCCTGTGCTCTTGCTAGAGTTACGACAGAACAATTTTTCCAGAACAATAAGTGTTGACTCTGAGAATCATTTTACCTGACCTCTGCCTCTGTGAGAGCACAGTTAATGGAGTTTTTCATGGTACATGAATATTGTACCGTGCCAGTCTCAAGGTTCACTATTCAAATGCAAAACTGAGGAGAAATGAAAACCCTACCAGCTGTTTCTCATATTAGAACAGGGCAGATTCTCTGTACTCTTCAAAAATTATTAAAGAAAACTGCCTTGCTTTTGAGCCTACTTTGCAGTAATAATTGAATTCTCCTTTCTTCATGTATGGACTTGAATTAACTGTCTTGTTCATTCAATGCAGCACACCATAATGTGAGTTGGAGCTGTGACTTTATAGGCAGCTACCACAACTACCAAGCTACAAACTGCTGCTTCTCAGAAGATGGCTCTTTGCTTGCTGTTAGTTTTGAAGAAACTGTCACTGTATGGGATTCACTTACTTGGGATCTTAAGTGTACATTTTGCCATCCACCTGGAAATATAAGGTACATTTTTCATCTGCTCTTCTATGTCTCATTTGAACTCTCAGAAAAGAAAGAATCAATTCATAGCAGTCCAAGACCTTGTATATGTTCATAAACATAGACACATAAACATTGAATTTATCAGTCTTAAATGTGTATATAGAAAAGACTAAAATGGCTTTTAGGTGTTGGTTAAAAATAAGATCAAGTGTTGCAGTTCCTTCTTGCTTACTTACGTCTCTTATACCTCCCCTCCTTAAATCTATATCATGGAGCACAAAAATAGTGTGTTGATAGCCCTTCTCTTTTTCCCCATTAATCCAGGGGTGAATCAAAGTCCTGGAAAAGTATAAATACATACAAGTTCTTTATTTGTGTATGCATGCATGCGAATAGAAAGTATATCACTAAACCATCAATAAAGGCATGATGACCTTATCTTGATTCTCTATAACCTCTGTTCAAAAAGCCATGTTTTCCTGGCAGACTATCCCAGCAATGCTCCATTGTATCCTGTCATGATAAATGACATCAACATCGTGTGGTCACAATATTTTAAACACTTGACACAAAGAATCATGGCAGGATACAGAGATTTCTTCCTTCCATGTGCTGTGTGTGTGTTTGTAAGATTTTCTTTTGCGCGATGAAGTCTGTTTCATGTTGGTCCTCTAAGATTAGAAACTGAGAAATGTTATTCTGAAACTGGTGTGCAAGAAAATTGTGGGAGGCACATGAGCCACCAGCTTGGTGCAGTGGCAAGCTTTTCCCAGGCCAGCTGCCTCTTCTTACAACCTTTACTATTTTTTATATTAAAAGGAAATAAATTATTCTCTGAATATAATGAACTACTGTATTCCCTGCATAACTTCAAAGGGCTATGCTTTAATATACAAATTCTGTCCCTTATTAGCTTTTTTGAAAATCTTTTACCATTAGAAGTCATAAGGCTGTTCTGTTATTCTCAAACAAGAGACTGAGAAATTAAATCACATGCTTTCTTCAACTGGAGCAGCTTATAATAACCCTTTTTTAACTATTTCTCTCATTCTAGTTCCCAAACAATAGTAGGGCTTCTTTAATTATTAAATTATTTTCTAATCCCAATGTCAATACTTACATTATGTATGGGTTTGTAATTTATTTAAGAGTTTTAAATCCCACCTTTGTATGTGCTGTGGAAATTTGTAATCCTTACATAGTTATGCACACTTCAAATTATCAGACTTTCTCATAGTTGTGTGTGGGTTTCACGCCACTAGAGGTGAATACAAAAAGCAAACTTTGGATTTAAATACCAACACTAAATCATAACTGAATGGTTGTTGTGAGTTTTGAGTAATCGCTACATAGGAAAACAAAGAGGAACTCTGAAGGTGACTAATTTGTTTTGACTTTTTACTTCTGTAGGAACATCTGCTTTGGGAGACTAACATGTTCCAAGTACCTTATTGGTGCCACTGATTATGGCTTTCTGTGTTGCTGGAACCTGCTCACTTGTGCATGTAAGATCAGCTTGTATGTGTGCTAGAGTAATTTATTACTTGAAATTACTGTGAAACCTTGAAATAATTCTAGTTCAATTCTAGATGTAACACATTACAAAATGTCCTGTGGAATTTGGATTATTTTCATCCTTTGGATAGTATCCTGTCCGTGTGTATGTGCTTTGTGTGTGCAGAATAAATCTTGGGTTTAGTGAGCGATAACCCAGTAATAGGTAGTGTATCTTACACTTGTATAGGAGCTGATAGCATTTGTGTGTTTTTATTCACCAGGGAATGAGTGGAGCTGCCTTATCCAGCAGCTGAGGCTGTGTGTGTTGTATGTTTGACCTTTCATTTGGCTCCTTTTCACCTCTGGCTCTTGCTGTGTTTGCTTTTCAGTGGAGTGGAGTGCCCACCTCAACATCGTAATTCTGCAACCTGATCCCCTTTCTGAGCATATTGCTGCAGTCTCATGGCTCTCCAAAGAGTCCAGCTGTAAGTACAAAGCCTTCTTTCACAAGTCATAATCGGCAGAATTTAAAACTGGGGAAGCACAATTTCTGGAAGAGAAATTTTCTTAGAATTCAGACCATGAAAGTTGGAGAGGGACTTCAGTGTGTGCTTGCACCTGTGGAAACTGAGCCATATCTGACAGCAGCATTCAAATAAAGTGTATAACCATTTCTTCCAGCAGATAGTTTCAGGTACAGGATAAATCTCAGGATTAACCACACTTTCTGGGTGAGGGTCTCAAATCTTCTTGACCCTCTCTTATAAATACAGATTTGTGCAGCTACATTTTAGAGCTCTGACATTAAATTAAGATAACTCTTCCTATAGAAATGTTAATTTCTAGGTGTGTTCTCTGGACTGGAGTACTGTGAAAGGTACATTCTATTACTGAGTAAAGTTATTCAGTTATATTCATGTGAACTGGTGCTTGGAGGCAATCCTGTCCATTCTTCCTGGCTGTGACACACAGGGCTTTGACAGCTGGCCAGAAGCATAAGAATTTCTTGATTTAAAAATAAGATATTTTTGGTTTTGCAGTGTTTGTGTTTAAACCAAGTGAGCCACGGCCAATCTACATCCAGAGAAATCTTTGTAAAGAAAAGATCCTGCTTGCTGCTTTCGTTCCAAGAGATGAACCTGAAATGATAAGCTCAGAAAAATACCTTTGGCTAAGAAATTCCCAACTGTTTTTTCTTACAGATACACAAGTAAGGAATAGTAATTGATAGGTGGTTCCTGGGGAAGAACTGGGTTTTTAAAATGGATTAATATGAATTCCGAGTTCTGCTCATGAGCATAGGAGTTCCTTTTTTGATTTCAAATCATTGTAAGCTATGCTTCGTTGAAAGCTTTCAACTGCCAAAACAGCCTAAGATCAAAATTATTTACTGGTTTTCTACTGTGAATAGTTTATACTGCTTCGTTGATAAAATAGACTAGATAACATGGGAACATGGCCTATTCTCTTTAACTTAAACAAGCACCTAGAAGCTGTATGGATTATTGCTGAAATTTTCCAGGTGATAGTCGGTTTCCCTGTAATTTCTGGATGGGAGTGTGGGGTTTTTGTTTGTTTTCCAAAAAAGCCTATGGAACCTCTAGGTCCATTCTTGCTTCTCTTCAGTTTCTTTACAAAATAAAGAGGAAGAGATGCTTTTGTCTCTTCCACCTGACTGATAAAACTTTTGGGCCAGTTGGAAGCTTCTGTAGGCAAGCTATGTAAATATAGAAAGCAGTTTGACATATGATAACTGTGCTACATCCTTCTGTATTTTAGGAGCTAATGACACTTAGCACAAAGTCTCTGGAAGAAAGGCTCACGCCATCAAGCAAACAGGTACCTCTCATAGAAGTTCCATAGTGAGATGGACAGAAGAGTCCAAGATTCTGATGGTTGTTTTGTCATATTGAAATTCCCTTTTGTCATGACAATGCACACCAGATCCTTACCTGGAGTCACTTAGCTGAAGGGGCAGTAAGCTGCATTTGCTTATTTTTTGACAAGAAGTGCTGTTTGTAAAAATTTTTTGAAGTATCAGTGAGCTGCTCTCCATTTCCCCAGGGGGGTGGGGGTGGGGGGGGGAAGAATACTTTTCTTAAAGATTTAACTTACTCAACATTTTGCTTTATTTGTGTAAGTTCTTTCCTTATCTTGGAATATAAATGATCTTTTGGCTCTGTGGAATCAGAAAATCCCATCCTTTGGTTTTCTGGCACATGCACCACCTTCCATGTTTGGAAGTTAATAGATCAGCAAACTTAAATCTAGTGTTCTTGGGTCTAGATTCTGGAGAGTTTTGCAACCCTCTGTGCAGGATTCTCTCCAGACACCTGACAGAGAATGAGTACAAAGACCACATGGGTCAGTTGAGTTAAATTTGAGTGTAGGCTTTTCTTACTTGGGTTTATTCTGAACTTTGGTAACTTAAAAGAAGATAGAACTTAGATTTGTGACACTAAAATTCTACTTACATTTTTCCAAGCTGGCAGTAGAAGAAAGTCTTCCTGTGACACCATTTAGTGTACTGTTGGGAAAGCACAGACGTCAGCAAGCACAGGAGGATATAGACCTTGGAAAACCAGTTGTTCATAATAAGCAGGAGCAAGCTTCACCTGCTGTCAAAGAGGTAGGAGTAATTACTGTAAATGTGCAAGCAAAATCACAACACACAAAGCCTTTCATAAAGTTTCTGTTTTATCTTTGCAGCTTTTGCACACTCCAGCACACGTTTTGCCGTCTGCTTCCTTCCTCTGCACTATATTTATTAACTCGTTGCTCATCTCCAAGGAGAACAAAAGGTAAGAAAAGTTCAAGAACTCTCCTTAGTTGTCAAAGTTACTTTAAATTATGTGAGTCTTTGTTTGAAGTGTAAAAGCAGTTTTCAAACTCCCTTTATCTATTCAGTAATTTACTAGAATACTTCAGTGTGGTAATGGTCTGCCTGTTTAGTGTACTGGCTCTATTGTTGCTGTTACTTTTGCTGGGTTTTGCGTAGTGTGCTTATACACAAAACGCTGCCTTTTACACACAAATATTCTCTATGAATTTAACTTTATTCCAGCGCTTTAACGGCTTTTTAGTGCTATTTTTGGTTAAATATTAGATTCTCAACTTTATTTGAAATTACTATGATTTGCTGCATAATTTCTAGATACACCAATAAGTTAGAATCTTGATCTTAAGAATTTGTTTAGAACTCAAATGTCATTTCTAATTAAACTACAAAATACAAGCATATATTGTAAGCAGAATTAAGTTTGGCTTACAGTGCCTTAATGCCAATTTAATAGAGTAGTTTGGTAGGTACTTAAAATTGTAGCTTGCTTCTGTGGGATCAAAGAAATGCTGGCACAGGGATTATGACAGTGGTCTTGTATTAGCATTAATATCTTGTCACTAGCACTGAAGGCAGTTCAATGATTGCATTTCTGTGCCATCTATTCTTTAAAGTGCTTCATGAAGCTCTGCCAGGCCAGGGATGAAAACCTGTCCTTGCAATCAGGTGTTGTTGTGGATTTGCCAGACGGGTTCGCAGGGCCAGAGCTCACCAGGGAGCAGGCACAGCTCCTGAGTGTGCCCTGGCTTCTGCCATTGTGCCGGCCACTGCTGCAAGATCTCTGAGTGCATGGCGCAACAAAACAGCCACAGAACAGTGGCAGAAATCTAATACATGGGAACTTGCATCTAGTTTCAGTCCTGAAGAATGTGAGAGTTCAGTGACCTGCGTAAATATTTGCGCTTGCAGAGCTTGTACTTTGACAGTGGTGACTACTGTGGCTGTGCATTTAAAGGTACATGTAAGCATTGGGCCCTTAAAGATTGACCACCATTTATCACTGTATAGTGTATATATTATGCAGTGGATATATTATTAACATTAAATGCTTATATTTTCCTTGGCAATATGATAGTAATGTGTGCTTCTCCATTTACATTTTGTGAGTAATGAATAGTTTGTGTTAGAACAGATGATTTTTAGAGGACCAGTACTGTTTTGCCATGCAGTTCACTCTTAATAGATCTGCAGTATTTATACAACAGATACTTTCATTAATTCTATTAATTAATGCATTTTAAATTATAACAGTTGCATATAATTTATTGTAATTGTGCTTTATACATCAGCACAGGCTTAAAACTCTTGAACTCAGAAGAGAACAGCCACTTGAAACATCTCTCTATGTTTAAAGAAAAAAAACCAAACAACCAATAATTTTTTTTATTCCTAGTAATGCTCTAGGTATTGCAGCAGTTTTTAAGACCAAGTGACCCTTTTCAGATTTGAAATAGAAGAATGGCCTTCTTGAATAATGTCTCATCTATCAGTATAGCCAACATTCCTGATCCTGTAGGACTGCAATTTTATAACATTTGTTTTAATGCTGATCTGCCTGCTCTGCAGTTACCTACGATATTTCAAGAAAGAAAACTATTTTAAGTTCACTTAGAGGAGAGCTATTTGAGAAATGGATTGAAATTGAGATAGCAAGACAAGTATAGTAGGTAGACTGAAATGAAAAAAAAAAAAATCTTTATTTAATTGTTCGCATGACACTTCTCCCCTATAGTACTGTAGTATGTGAGAGTACCTGTTAATTCAGTTGTTTCCAACCATCTTCCAGTGCTGAAGAAGTTGCTGATGAAGTAGAAATGGAAAGTGAAAAAGCAGAGGATGAATCAGATGAGGAAGATGTCACAGCAATGGAACAAGAAGATACAAGCCATGTGGAATTATTAGGAGAGATTACATGTAAACTGTCTAAATCCCAGGAAAAAGAGCTACGAAAAATAAGAAAAATGGACTACAGTTGGATATCAGCCTTCTAAACAGACATCTTACTTTTTTTATACTGCAAGTTGAAGCTTTGTGGATTAAATATTCTTAAAAAAAAAAAATCAGGTCCTCTGGCCAAAAATTTTAGCAGCTTCTCTTTTCAAAGGAATGCAGAACAAGGGGGAATGATTAAAGGTTTGAAAAGCTGATTCTGCTCTAAGTTTATTACTGATTCTCTATGACCTTAGAAAATGCTTAATCTGGTTTGGGGGCTTCCCCTCCCCCCCTGCAAGTGTATTTAAAAGGCTAATAGCAAAATTGAGTTCATTGTCTGACTTGTGATCAGTTAACAAAGTGACAGCTCAGCTGCTGAAAATCGTCCCCACTGAGGCTGGGTTACTGCTGCCAAAGCAGCAGCAGCAGCAAATGCCTTCAGTTAGTGACAGAGCTTAGCTCAAGATATGGCAGGGGAGATCAGGGTGGTTCTTGCTGCTGTGTACAGGTAACTAACAAGTCTCCTCCCCAGAAGGTCCTCTACAGCTGTTGAGACAGATGAGAAGTGATTTAACAGGCCTTGTTAGAGAATATAGATATAAATCTTTTGTAGAGTTCACACAGTATGGAGATTCTTAGGTGGAGGGCACTCAGTGTATCAGACCACTATGAAATCTTTCCAAATATCAAGACCACTGCATCGTGTAGGAGATTAATCAGTTTATGCAGCAGCCAGGTTAACAGGCCTTTAATGCACCAGCTGCAATTCCAATATATCACTTAACTATGCACAGCACAGTGGAGAATTGAAGTGGTGAATTTGAGGGCCTTAGAGTGAATACAATCTCTGTGGTGCTGCAGTATGAAGGCAAGCAGATGCAAATGGCACAAGTCACTAAAAGCTCTGAAGAAACAATATTTTGTTAAAACTATTCAGATCAAAAATGCTGGAACAAGAACAATCCAACACTCAGTGAAACCTGAGTTCTCCCTACTCTGCCTTTCCAACAAAGAGGAGGACCCTTTGCTTCCTCTCCTGTGTTAACACCATATAGTGGAAGGCAGTTAGTGGCAACACATAACTTTTTGAGAGGAAGTGTATCCTACAACAGACAAAATCTGCCACTTTCACCCATGTATAGAAATACTGAAATTCATCCATAGGCATCAAGGAAAGCAGCTCAGAATTATTTTTCTGGTAGGTTTACCTCTCCCATTTTAAGATAAAGGCACTGTTTGCTCCCTTGGTGTGCTGGCAGGTCCATCATCAGCTGCTGTGGGGTTAAAGAGGTCCAGGCTGCAGCCAGGGAGGAATGGATGTTGTAGCAGCACCCAGAATGTGGCACAACAGTGACCTGTACATTTAGGAGGGAGGTACTTTGGGTGTTGGGCCTGCCATTGTGAGTCTATGGGGAAAGTCTTAAACCCTGAGAGGTGGAAATGCTGTCATAGAGACAGGGACACCGAAAAGGGCTGTTAAAAACAATTCTACCAATAGGTTTGAGTGCTGCCCTCAGGAAAAAAAAAAAGCCAAAAACTGCTTTAAAACCTGTTGCTACAGAAAATTACCTTTTAATTCTGTAAGTTCACTATTATTGATGTTAAAGCATGGATGTGAGGATATGAAGATACTTTAGAAGACAACATTAGTTTCTGTAAAAAGCTTTGGGATGTCTGCCACACAACTTGAATTGAGTGATGATGATAGTCCCTTGCACACTCTTTATGTTTCCTCCTAATCAGACATGAATGTGAAAAATAGTTCGGTGATCCAGTTTCAGCCTCAACTAGCTAGGGCTAACTTAGTTGCATGGCAGCAAGGGGCTCCTGCATCTTCTCATACAATAAAGTCATGTGAAGTCAGCTCTTCAGACTACCATTACTTACAACTGTGAGGCAGGTTTTCTTCTATCGTAGATCACTTACTAGGACTAGTATTACTGAGAATTTTAAGGAAAGTTTTTAATCATTAGGCATTTTTCTTTCCTGTTTAGGCCCTTAGTATGCAGAAAAATAACATTTTAAAACCTGTACAAGTTTTCCAAAGTTAGTTTGCCTGTAAGTTCATGCCTCTTACTTCTATCACACTTACAGGGAGAGAAGGAAAACATGGCCTATCATAATTCTGGCCAGTTTTCTGCTTTTGTATTTTTCTCCCTTTGTATAACAGCTTTTTAGATAACCTCATGGTATATGCAGCTGAAGCAAAAAAAAAATCACAGCTCCCCAAATGTTAGCAATTTTCATTTCTGTCCCTCTTGCCTGCAGAGCTGAAACTGATACCGCCTTTTCAGAACCTTGGACCCAGTGGATTTTTCCCTAAATGCAAAGTTTCTACAGAACAAATAGAGAAAATTATTTAAGACTGTAACTGACAAATACTAGGTTTTGAAAACTCGGAAACATTAGAAAGTACAGGAAAATAAAAAGTACATATAGTCTCCCTCCAAAATATGCATCATACTAGGAAAGACACACTGAAAGGTTTTTGTATTTTTCCTTAAATAGCATCAGACTTCAGCTCTGTGAAAAAACAAGTATGAGTTAATCAGGAATCTATACACATGTTGTTGCAAAAGTGCTGCATTAAAGCCTGGTGGTGGTACTGTGTCAGCAACATTTAAGTGTGGCTTTAAAGGAGGAAACCTTAATATCTGTTCATGTGGGGTTTTTTGAATTCACATGTTCCTGTGAAAGTCAAGTGCTTTCCTGGAAGCCAAGCTGGTATGAGCAAGAGACAGCTCACGTGCAAGTCAGCATGTGAAGGTGCAGTTCAGTTTTGTGTTCAGGTAGTAGTGCACTGTGTTAGAAATCTTCAGCAAGATACAGCTTTTAGACTTAAATCTTTTGTCATTACTGACTTGGTTTTGCTTTTCCTAGCAGACTGAATGTACTGGGATATCAGAGGGCCCTCACTTTGTCGTTCCCTGTGTGTGTTTTTTCTGCTCAAGAAGGAAATACATTTCTGGTTACAGTTTTACTGCAGTTAATAGGCACATTCCTGACCAGCCTTTTAGAAAATGCCTTCTGTCTGATACTGCAATTACAAGAATAAAGAATGCAGAGGGAGTGCTGCTACTGATTTGTCTGTGGCTGTTTTGGAATGCTTTAGTTTTAAAACAGTTCTCTGCTGTTTCAATCTTGTGTATCTCAGTAGCCATATCAGTCCCTGTATTTACTGTGATGTCCTAAGTCAAATCTTCATTTGATTTTTTTGGCTTCTGCTTCTTCCTTCTAAAGGCTATTTTATAAGATATTATTCTTTTATAGAAAGATTTGACACAAAAGACCATAGAGAAGAAGGTTGAACTTAATCTCATTATTCCAGTTACATGATAAATACAACAGGTAAGAAAATACCTCTGCATGTGTAGAGGTCAGTGTTCAATACCTGTGGGTGCCCTGTGCACACAGCAGGAAAGCGATTCACAGAAGCAGTCACAGCTTTATTTAGGCTGAGGGACAGAACACACGAGGATGGCAGGTGCCTAGAAGGGAACTTGTTTACTTCCCAAATTTTCCACTCAGACAAGTGGTTGGATAAACATGAGGGTCTGAAAATGCAGCAGCTAAGGCAAGCATTACAAAAAATAGATATACAAGCAAGGCCTTATGGAGCACATTGTGGCAATGGGCTTTGACTGAGGGGCTGCTCCTCTGAGGCTGCTCAGGTGTTGCTCTAAGTGCTGAAGAGGTGGCCAGTAATTTTAGCCCATTTGTTCCAGTCAAGTGTAGTTCCACAGAGACTGAAAATCACTTCTCTCCAGTGGCATTTTGTGAGGCCCAAACCAGATATTGGTTAACAGCAGCTCCAACACGTGCCCTGTCCTTGGTGGGCAGACTTGGCAGGAAAGCTATGAGAAAGAGGCTGATATTACTAAACTGTAGTTGCTATGGATTTTTGAGTTCAAGAACGGGGGAAAAAAACCCTGCAAATTTTGCTGCATGTTTTAGGATCACCTGGATCTTTGTATTTCAGCCTAACAATCATTTGTGTGTCTGACCCTGGGGAGGCTCTTTCAGATACCTCAGTCTGCCAAATCCCAGTCTGCAGTGAGCCTTCTAAAGCACATGCTAACAGCCAGAATTAGAACCAGCAGAGAATAGGACAGAGGAAAACAACAACAGCTTCAAATATAACTCAGAGAAACCTGAACAGACCTTCTGCCCCATAGCAGAGGAACTGAGGTATATTTATTCTTGACAGATGCTAGCTAGTCTAATTTTGCAGACCTCTGATAAAAGCTATTCTATGTATGGGATCTGTTCAGTGCTTACCTTTTCTGACAGGCACTGTTTTTCCTAATAAAAGTAATCTTCCTTTCCTGCAAAATTTCTGTGCCATTCTTCAATAAGAATCTGTAGAAAAAAAAATTAAAGCATGCTACTCTATTTCCTTTAAATAAAATAACATCCCTTTTAACTTTTATTTTTACTTTTCCCTGGGCCTTAGCAACACCAGAACTGTCCTTCAGCCCTTCTTTGGGCTAATTGCTTACAGGTTAAATATTGTTCTGACTAATTTATAATTTCAAGTGCAAAACTTGTTAGGGTCACTTAAAAGATTTCTGGAAGGTCCTAAAGCCTGTTCTTTCTCAGTTCTGGCTTGTACTCCTTGCTGATTATCATTAGTATTTGAGTCTTTCTGGTGATGGCAGAAGCAAAGGCAGTAATTTTTATGTCAGCTAACACCCCAGTGCTTTTCAGCAAACCCCTCTCCCAGTGCAGAATCCCTGCAGAGCACTGGTTTTTGTGGATATTCCAGTTCAGACTGAACAGTGCAGGTTTAACTTCGGCCTCTGCACAGCATTTCCTTCAGGAGTTAAATAGTAGGCTGTAATGATGTAAACTGGAATTTAGCCAGGGCAGCAAGGTCATTCCTCTCTAAGGTTGCAAAAGACACTTAAATAATACTCTGAACAGCTCTGCATTTTAACTAGTTCATTAACATAAAGGGGTGAGCTTGTCACAGTAGGGTCTCTTCACCAGATGAAATCATTATCAGAAATAATGAACAATATTTGTGTTTGTACTGTAAAGCCAATTCAGGATGAAATCCCTACTCTTCAGAAATCACTGACAAAGCACCCTTTCACTTTATAGTCCAGGGTCACAAAGTCACATTGCCTACAACAAGGTAAAGTACCAAATCTTAAAATACTGCAAGGGCAGTATTCTGAGTTGTATGTGTGTGTGGTTTGAAAGTGAATTAGCCCAAGCTTCTTACAAAGAATTTCTTGTTAATATTGTTGGTAATGGAGGGAGCGAAGCCCTTTAGGTAAATACCATAATGTGGCTGTAAGCAAAGTTACCACAGAGCTCTGGAACCTGCGTATCAGCAGTTCCTGAGGCTGTGGCTTTCTCAAATGCTTTGAGCACATAAGTGGTCACCATGGAAAGAAGCATTCCCACCTCCCAGCTAACATCTGCTGCCTGCTGCTGCATCTCCTGTGCCAACACAAGCTCCCACTGCCTTTGTGAGGAGCTGGCTGGAGGGAAAAAATCTGTGTATAACGAAACCAGGTAATACATGAATAAATAGTTTAAGATGTTCACAGAATTGCAGTTCCAATGAGACCAAGGCAGGATTTTTCTTCAAGAGGTTTTTCTATGCTCAGAACATGAAGTTTTAATGCTGTACACCCAAACCTCACTCGTTTGTCCCAGAGCCTGTCCCTTGTGCTAGGAGAGCTGCAACCACACCTAGAACATTCCCAAGACGTGTTTGTTTGGTGTGATACCCAACTCAGCTCAGCTCTCATGCAGCAATTCCTGGTTTCCCCTTACACCCTCTTCCTCCTCTCCCTAAATAATAGGTAAATAAACAAATAAAACAGTCGCCAGCAGTTCAAAGAAAATACTTTTAGACTGATAAATTTAGACAATAAACTGCTGAGGGTGATTATTCTATTAGCCTCTAAAATGAAAACTGTTAAGGAATTGTGAACTTTTTAACATGTAAGGAAGTATCATTATTGGAGCCAAGACCTTTGTCTTCTGTTGACCTTTCCAGATGTAGCTGTGTAACTAAGAATTAGGCTTATCATTCAAGAACACACATTGCAGCCATCAACTCATCTAATTTCTTCATGAGAACAGCAACAAAGGCATAGGTAGAAGGTAGTGCCCAGAAAAGCAAGAGTTTTTGCCAGTTTTTCAAAATGGCTTTCTTATACTGCTAGCTCCTTTATTTTAAACTAGCTAAATTATCCCAACCATAAAGCTGGTTTATCAGTTACTGTTATTGATGCCTCAACTTATGTTTGCAGTTTGTTTATTTTATTTTTAGATTCAAAACTGTGATCAAAGCTTTGAATATCTTGGCTAATTGATTTCCTTTAGTGACCAAAGGAGTTTTCATTTCGTCCTCAAATCAGTGAACTGAGACAACAAACAAACAAACTCTCCAACATTATCTGAGATGTTATCTCTTTCATTTTTAGTCACTGACTTTACAAATAATAAAGTAACTTTGCTATTTTGTAAAATTTGCTAGTCAAAAGCAATATATAATTTTCACTAAAGTCAGACACTTCTGTAATAACAGGTTTTGTTCAGGCCATGTTTCCTCCGCCCCTTGAGCTTCCTTGCCCCTGCTCTTACTTGCAGTCCTAGCTCTTCTATGGAAGAAATACAGGGAAAGCAGGAACATCTTTCACAGTTCTCTTCCTTTTCCACTTTGAAAATGAAGCTTAACGTCGCATGAAGTTCACCTTATTAGTTAAAATTATGTTTAATAAGTTCTCAGTATGAAAGACAGCTAAATCCTGCCTCAAAAGGAGCAAAAGGAGGATCAGAGTGTGTTTGACACCTTGGGCTGCTGCCCTGTGACTGAGCAGGAGCACAGGGACTGTTGGGATCAGGGCTGCAAAGACTGTGAATAGCAAGTCCCAGGGCACATCACTTTGGCCTTCTGGCTTTTCTTATGAGCTGCAGATTGCTCCATTTCCCCTATCACTTCAAAGAAGGAAAACTACCAAAAATATGAAGAGTGAAAAACAGTGCATGAGCTCTTAATACAAAGAGACTATTTAAACCGTGAAATAGTCCATCATGAAAGGAGCCCTTTTTCACCTGGCACAGCACAAATGAAAGCTGGATTTCTGAGAACTATCACATCTGTAGGAAAGGAAAATTTTCATAGTGCTTGCTATAGCATATACAGCATGTTATTTCTGGACTGCATATTCTGTGAGTAGGCTCAGGATACAGAGACAGTTTATCTTTCCTTTTCTATGAAATCTACTAGCTGATCTCAAGGATTAAGTGGAAAGAAAAACTCACATCAATTGCAAAATAAATACCCACTTCTAAATCAACAGGTTAAATGAAGCCAGAAAACCACCCTGAATGCCTACCAGTGCAAATCATCTGGAAGCCATAAATAATAGCTTTCCAATTAACCAGCAAAGAATGTTCCAAAATACATTTCAACTTGCAGTAATGCAATGTAAGTAGAATCAATTACAAAATAACTAAAGATGGGTTGAGATATACAAATAGTGGACATTTACAGTTGCCTCTCTCAGCTCAGAGGTAAATCCAGCCACTTCTATAGTTCAGGTAAAACAATTCAGTAGATCAGTAGATCCTGTAGAAATGCTGCAAAGATCTCTATAGATAGATAAATATAATACAACCATGGCTGAGACCTCAGCTTAGAGATGGATACCAATGCAAACACAAACATGTCAAAAAAGGAGAACTTCCTATTTACATTCAAAAAAGTTCAGAAGTTCTTAAATAGTTTTCCAGACTAAATACAACTGTGTGATGTATAACACTGAAATCCTGCATCCAGAGAAATAAATTTTAAGGATGCTTAGCTCTTTGTTAAGAGAGAAGGAATCTGCAGACTCACAGGTGCTGCTCAAGTTGCAAGAGTAGTGTCAGCAAGCAAAGGAACAGCAAAAGGGAACAGGCTAAAAAAAACCCCATTCCTTACAGCTTCAGGAGAAAGAAACCCAAGAAGTTCTATATACAGCACAATATTGCTAGTTTTTCCCTAATTTCTTGGGTTTGGGTTGCTCTATCATGACTACTTTTTATCTACCTGGAGTGTTCACATC